ACCTAGCATCTAGAAAGTCTGTTATTAAAACATTTGATGATGGAATTAGCTGTATAGTATAAATAATAAAATTAGTATAGGTAATAATAATAAAATAATAAAATTAGTATAGGTAATCGCTAATGGAGCCTGACATGTCAGTCATCGACCACCCTCGGCTGCAGATGAGGGATGCCTGCTGTCTCTCATCTAGGGGGCATTAGGCTGAAGGTGGGTGATGGTGGACATTTCAGGCTAAATCGCATGGAACAAAGTATAATATTAACCTAACCGAGCGTAAGGGCCATCTGCACTGGGGAATATTAGCCCAAGGGCATTCCAGTGCAGACCGAGCAGAGCTGCTCCCTACAAAAATGACCAAGGTCCAATATTCTCCAGTGCAGTTTGAGCAAGCTAGGCTAGAAGTTTATTGTATGGCACTCGAAAACAAAACAAACAATACCAGCTTATGCTCAGAATGCTCAGATTTACCTCAAGCCTACTTTGGCATATAATAAAGCATTAAAATCCAGTGTTTCTAGGAAAATGGCGAAATTTGCAATTATCCTTAATTCTATGAAGAAACAAGTATGCAAATTATATTTAATAATTACATGGCTGAACAAGTTCGCGGGTAAAAAGGATAATTCTGATTGGATCCCTAAGCGACCCGAATTTTGCAAAACAGACTGCTCACGAATAGACCAATTTCGATTTATTAAAATTCAGCCTGAAACAATAGACCTCAGCACGAGGCTCTGGGGAATAAACCCCACAAATTCTGTACTTATTCCCCAGAGCCTCGTACTGAGATCTATTGTCTTAGGCGGAATTTTAATATATCGAAATTGGTCTATTAACTTAACAGCGAAATGTTTTTTCAATTCATTGCACAAAATAAAATAATTCTTGTCAAGTAGAAATCTTTTTACCTTCATGTTTGTAGGACAATTTCAGTTGAATGTTCACAAAAAGCGACCCGAGAAACGTAAATAAATGCTGACCAGTTCCCGTGCGCGTTTACCGAGAATGGATCGCGAAGACGCATCAATTTATCAGCAGATTAAAAAGAGCCATTATAATAAATACTCTATTGAACTAGCTTGTCCGGCCCGTATTGGAGAATACTGGTCTTTTGCAGGTTTATGGACCTCGCCAGCGGCTCGATCCATAAACCTGCCAATCCTGTGATTGGGGACTTGCTCACGTGGCAGTCCACGCGGCTTTACACTCATTTTCATCCTCCACAAAAACACCCACGCAACGCACAACATCCGCGGAATAACCGGCACCATACTCGTCTCAATATAGCTTCAGGGGACGAGGGTTACTTGGGAATAAGGCCTTTATGAGGGATAACTCGTTTACTCTTCATTTTCTCTTGAAGGCATCCTTATCATAGAGGTGTCTGTATAGCACGGTTTTTAATCGCCGCTCGCTAAGTAAAATAGAACGTAATACAAATCATCGGGTAATCTTTGGGAGATATTTACTGACTCATTCGTAAAACTTAGGAGGTTAGCAGGTAATCTTCGTTAATCGTCGGTAGTCTTCGTGCATGTCATCTTTAACAGAATGTTAAGGTCCACGGTGATTTTCCGAAATTTTCAGAACAATTAATGAAAACTGCCCTCTGTTTAAACGGTAAGAATTTACCAATTTAGCACCACCGTTAGAATGGTTTCAGTTAAAAGTAGTAAAATTAAAACCTAAGTACATCCTGGGCCGGATTTAAGGGTTGGGGTGGATTGGGTGGCTAGCCAGCCCCTCTTTGGAGGAGCAAAAAAAAAAAAAAAAAAAA